TAATATTCTTAGGAACTGTAACTTTTTTCTAAAAAAAGGTTTATTTATTTATTTGAAAGTCAGAGTTACACGGAGAGAGAAGGAGAGAGAAAGAGAGGCAGAGAGAGAGAGGTCTTCCATCTGCTGGTTCACTCCCCAATTGGCCGCAATGGCCGGAGCTGTGCGGATCTGAAGCCAGGAGCCAGGAGCTTCTTCCGGGTCTCCCACGTGGATACAGGGGCCCAAGGACTTGGGCCATCTTGTATTGCTTTCCCAGGCCATAGCAGAGAGCTGGATTGGAAGTGGAGTAGCCAGTTCTTGAACTGGCACCCATTTGGGATGCTGGCACTTCAGGCCAGGGTGTTAACCCAATGTGCCACAGCGCCGGCCTCAGGAACTGTCACTTTTCAATATGACCAAAGATTGTGAAGAAGATCATTTATAAGAAGGTTTGAAGTTTGAGGGGCTTTGTGGCTTTGATTTATATTTATTTATTTTTAAAAGATTTATTTATTTACTTGAGAGGCAGAGTTCAAGACAGAGAGAGAAACAGAGAGAGAGGTCTTCCTTCTGCTGATTTATTCCCTAATTGGCCACAATGGCCGAGGTGGGCCAATCTGAAGCCAGAGCCATGAACTTCCTTTGGGTCTTGCACACAGGTTTAGGGGCCCAAGCACTTGGGCCATCTTCTACTGCTTTCCCAGGCCATAGGCAGGGAAATGGATTGAAAGTGGAGCAGCTGGGACTCGAACCAGCTCCCATATGGGATTCTGGCACTATGGGTGGATGCTTAACCTACTATGCCCCAGCACTGGCCCCTTGGTTTATATTTATAACAGTTAACCTCTAAAGATTCATTCTACTCTAATAATTTACAATTTGTGCATTTATATTGGACAGATCCATTGAAGTAGACTAATGGTTATAGTTAACTTATGCTATCATCTCCTGGTATTTGGTCTATGTTATAAAGGAATGCATTATATAAACTTACATTTTTGAAGATCATATTTGTGATTGTATTTTTGTGATATTTTAAAGTGACTGTTAATCAAAAGGAATACATTCTGACCCAACATGAAGAAATAGATTATTTTTGTTGTATGCAGCAAATATATGGATCAAATTAATTACTGAAATTCTGTACTGAATAATTTTAAGCTCTTAATCACTTGCATTTTAGTTTTACCTAATGGCTGACCATACATTTTCCTAATTTCTGGTCTCAAAATCTGGCCGTGTGATCTCAGGCTCTGTCCTTAACTCCACTTACCTGAATTTGGGATCCTACTTAGCCAAGGACTGCAGTTTGAATTGACATTGATTTATTGGTTAACTGGTTGCTCCTCATAAATCCTTCCATCTTTTGTTGTTATTTTCAAATCTGTATACATAATTATTTTCATATTTTACCCCCTCTCTATTCATCTCTTCACTCACTCTTTTCAGTTTAATTTAAAAGTCCCTGTGCAGGGGCTGGCGCTGTGGTGCAGCGGCTTAAAGCCCCACTCTGCAGCACCTGCATCCCATGTGGGCACCAATTAGAGTCCTGGCTGCTCCACTTTTGATCCACCTCTGCTGTGGCCTGGGAAAGCAGTACAAGATGCCCCAAGTCCTTGAGCCCTGGCATCCACCTGGGAGACCCAGAAGAAGCTCCTGGCTCCTGACTTCGGATTGGTGTGGCTCCAGCCATTGCAGCCTTGTAGGGAGTGAACCAGCGGATGGAAGTCATCTCTTTCTTTCTCTGTCTCTGCCTCTCTGTAACTCTGCCTTTAAAATAAATAAATCTTTTAGAAAAAAAAGTCCCCGTGCATCTGCCTCTCTTACCATTTTCATCTCTATCTTCCATCTAATCATACATCCATCCATTTTTGGGTGGAGGTTGGTATGATAGTAGATATTCTTCAGTTTAAAAGTTATCCACTTTTAGGTTAGAAAGCAACAAATTATTTCCTCTGATCATTAAGAAGAAGACAGATTATTATTTAATCCAAATTTAAGGAATAAGACAATCATTGGAATAATTTGGAGCAGGGTTATCAATCAAAGGAGTTTAAACATATTGTTTTCTGATAATCAAGTGAAATTTTTGTAATAGAAAATTTAGAAAATTACCCATAATTGCTAGCAGAATATTAATACTTTACTGCCAAACCTTGTTGCTGACAAGAATTTTTAATTCTACGTTTGTTCTTATATGGCATATGGGATAATAATAAAAAAATCCTAGGAGAAATTATGAAATAGTAAATTACTCCTGATAATTATTTAAAATAAATTAACTTATACAAATATGAGGGAATGATTGAATGGGTGAAGTTTAGCAATGATAGGTATAGTAAATGAAATTTCAGTGAATTAAGAGGTATTTGTTTGATGTTTGTTTTATTTCCCTGAAGGAATTACACATTCCTTAAAATGTTGATTGTATTTGAGTAAAATTTTGGAACTATGGAGCAACAGGTGGTATTTTAGGCCTTGTCATTAAAAAGCTTTATATGGTAAACAAAAGTATGTTATGATAAAGACATGGACTGTGCTAGGAAAATACTAAACATTAAGAAATGCTTTATGAAATTTGATAATTATATGTTCTTAACCATGAATGTGACACAATTTCAATGTCTGAGCCTCTTATTTGTTCTATAAATCTTTGAGTAAGTGAATGTAACATTAATTTGATGGCAAATAGAAATCATGTGTATTCTTGTTAAATCGAGAAATAATTGAGTGGCCTTATTTCTTTTCTAGCAGTATGTGCTATTATTCCAAATGTTAAAAATATTCCTACAACCTTATTAAAGCATTAATTTTTATAATTATATTTTGATGGAGCAGCAATGTATATTCATAAATTGAGCCCTTTTGAGTTTACTACTTTCACCTGTGATCCTTACAATATTTGCTCGTTTCTTTTTAACTTTATTTCTCTGATGAAATGGTGCCCAGTAATGCCTTGAATTCTAGAAGATACCTGCTCATATTCCTGGAATTATCTGTAGGAGTCCTGAGGTTTTCTCCGTATTGCTCTCTCCTTTATTTTCTGTGGATATTACTTCATGAATTCCCTGCTCATATATAAGAGGGAAGAAAAAGGTTATTAAACCATTGTGTTCAGTAATATGTGTAAATTATTTATAACAGTGGCTATTACATATTAAAAGATCAGTGATCTATGAAGGTTAATTATTACTATTTTCAATTAGCACCATTAATGGATTGACATTCTTGGTTTTTGAACAGTAAAGTACAATAAAATATAATAAAAAATGAAAATGTTCCCTCGATCTCAATAAGCTATAATTGCTGCCATTCCCCCACACTTAAGCCTTTTAAATACTGTGGGTCTATAATTTTTAACACCACTGAGGGAAAACAAGCAGTCTAAATACCAGGATCTCTCAAACACTTTCATATATGGCTGGGGCTATGGAATATTATGTTGTTGAGTCATTTTTGGAATTATTTTGAGGATTTTTTTCCTTTTTGTAGAAATGATGCTGAGTAGGAAAAATTAGGTCACAGGAGGAACTAAATACCAGTCACATACTTCCTTACCTTTATCATTTCATGATTCTCTGAGAACCGTGACATTGAAATCATCCTTTTTTTTCATCTTCTCTGTTATAAACTTGTTATAAATTGTATCACTGAGTTGTTTCCTGTATTTATATGTTACTAATTATAACCTTATTAATTATTTTAAATCAGCTTATAGTTTAAAAATAACAGATGGAAATTATGCAGAACTAAATAAGTGTATATATATATATGTATATGTGTGTATAACTAAATAAGTAGATAGATAGATAGATAAATAGAGATGTGGAAGAGAAAAAGAACTTTCCTGTCACTGTTTTCCCTCTCAGATGAGTCCAGAAAGAATGTGCTTCATGGCCAGGAGAGTTGTACTGGGATGCTACCCTGCATTTTTCCTTTCTGTTTTCAACATTGAGAAGGATAGATAACCTCTGCCTGCGACGCTGGCACTCTGGGTTCTGGTCCCGGTTGGGGTGCTGGTTCTGTCCTGGTTGCTCCTCTTCCAGTCCAGCTCTCTGCTGTGGGCCAGGAAGGCAGTGGAGGATGGCCCAAGTGTTTGGGCCTTCCACCACATGGGAGACCAGGAGGAAGCACCTGACTCCTGGCTTTGGATCAGCGTGGTGCGCCGGCCGCAGTGGCCATTTGGGGGGTGAACCAATGGAAGGAAGACCTTTCTCTCTATCTCTCTCTCCCAGTCTAACCCTGCCTGTCAAAAAAAAAAAAGAAAGAAATTATCAACTCCCAACTTGACTCTCACTGGGATTAAACATGACAATAGGTCTGATCTGATTTCATCATCATTTAAAAAAAAAATCATCTATTATTTCTCACTTTATGTTTCTGTGTGAGAGCAAACTGTTGAAATCCTTACTTAATGTATACTAAGCTGATCTTCTGTATATTAAGATAATCGAAAATGAATCTTGATGTGAATGGAAGGGGAGAGGGAGTGGGAAAGGGGAGGGTAGTGGGTGGGAGGGACGGTATGTGGGGGAAGCCATTGTAATCCATAAATCGTACTTTGGAAATTTATATTCATTAAATAAAAGTTAAAAAAAAAAGAAGGATAGATAATAGTATTAGATAATAGTATTTGAGTCATACAATTTGCTCTTTGAAAAAGTATCTTATTATTCAGTTTCACTTGAGAAATTTTGTCTTTTCTTACCTTATTCCTTTAGTCCTTTTAACTTTGTTTAAAAAATACTTAAACAACTTCATAAGTGATTTGGATATAACATAATTTGAGATTGGCCCCTCTAATCTCTACGGCATTTCATTAACTTGCTTGACTTAATGACACACTGCATTTTTGGGAACTGAATTTTGACATTCCACTTAAAGCATTTTCATGATTTGAATATTATCATTTACTTCTTTTGAAAATACATATATTAATACCTTACTTCATGTATCTTGGTTATAATGTCTCTTAGAGAGGAGCAATACAAATATTAAGTATAACTTGTATTATCTTCTAGTTGGTCACAATTGTGAAAAAGAAAATGCACCAGAGGGTCCCACTCAGAGAGGTCTGCGTGAAGCCAGGGAGCAAAGCAAAAGTAAAACGAAGAAGAAAGACAATAATAAGGTATGATATGCTGTTTATTGTATTTCCATTAATTCATACTTAATTGTCTGATATTTGGCTATTTTTAAAATTTATTTGAAAAGTTTAGATACAGAAAAAAAAGGGAGAATAGAGATCTTCCATCTTCTGGTTCACTTTCCAATGGCCTGCAATAGCTGGGGATAGGTCAGGCTTGAAGTCAGGATCTTTGAACCCAATCTGGGTCTCCCGTGTGAGTGGCAGGGAGCCAAATATTTGTGCCATCACCCGCTGCCTCCTCGGGCGCACATTAGCAGAAAGCTGGGGTGGAATGCGTAATCCATGCACACTGATCTGGAGTGAGGTGGTTCTGTCTCTCAGACCTCAGCTATGTGCACTCGTTCTGTGTCATTATTCTACTGGAACAGAATGTAGATGCTGTATAATACAAGCTCGTTAGTTTACAGAGGGGAAACGGAGGTCCGGTGTTACTAGTAGCTAGTTGATTCAGGGGCACATGCTTCTTAGCTGCAGGGACAGCTCAGTAAGTCGCTGTGTCACCTATCCAAGCAACCTGGCCTGTTTGTGCACTTGCTGGTTTTTGTGCTGAAAATTGCCTGTCCAAAAGAAGTCACCCTGTATCACCTGTGTTCTCAGATTGTTTAACCTCAGACTTGACTCAGTTTTCTTTAAAATTAGAATAGAAGGGCAGGCACTGTGGCGCAGTGGGTTAAGCTGCCACCAGGGATGTTGCCATTCCACATTGGAGTGCCACTTTGAGTCCTGGCTGCTCTGCTTCTGAGCTAGCTTTCATGTAGTGTATCTGGGAAGGCAGCAGAAGGTGGCCCAAGTAATTGGGCTCCTGCCACCAATGTGAGACACAAGGGTGGGGTTTTTGGTTCCTGGTTCCTGGCTTTGGCCTACCTAGACCTGGTTGTTGTAGCCATTTGTGGAATGAACCAGCAGGTAGAATATCCATCTTTCCCCTCTTTCTGGTACTCTGCCTTTCAAATAAACACAGAATTAAATATAACCATGTTCAAGTTAAGATTCTGTGTATATATTCGGTACTTTTGTTCTGCAATCAGACCGGTAGTTAAAATCTTCCATAATGATTCTAAAAAGAAAAATAGTATTAAAACCATACAAAGAGGCCGGCGCTGCAGCTCACTAGGCTAGTCCTCTGCCTGCAGTGCTGGCACCCCGGGTTCTAGTCCTGGTTGAGGCGCTGGATTCTGTCCCAGCTGCTCCTCTTCCAGTCCAGCTCTCTGCTGTGGCCCAGGAAGGCAGTGGAGGATGGCCCAGGTCCTTGGGCCCTGCACCTGCATGGGAGACCAGAAGAAGCACCTGGCTCCTGGCTTCGGATCGGGGCAGTGTGCTGGCCGTAGCAACCATTTGGGGGGTGAACCAATGGAAGGAAGACCTTTCTCTCTGTCTCTCTCACTGTCTAACTCTGCCTATTAAAAAAAAAAAAACATACAAAGAGATAAAAAATGAAGAATGAAATTAAATAAAATTTGTAAATGGTTTAGTTTCTCATTATGAAAATTGTATAACTGTCTATCTGAAGTAATTATTTTATAAAATTAATAATTCACATAAAGTTCTATAATGTCTGACATTTTTAAAAGATTTGTTTATTTTTGTTGAGAGGCAGAGTTACAGAGAGAGAGGGAAAGACAGAGAGATCTTTCATCTGCTGGTTCACTCTCCAAATGACCATTACAGCTAGGGCAGTCCCACACTAAAGACAAGAACCTGGAGCTTCTTCTAGGAGGCCTAAGTACTTGAGCCATCCTCTGCTGATTTCCAAGGCTCACTAGCAGGGAGCTGGATTGCAAGTAGAGCAACTGGTCTTGAACTGGTACACATATGGGATGTTGGCATTTCAGCAAGCCCCCTGACATTTATTTTAAAAGGAAAATATTTAGAATTATATTTTCAGCAGTGATAATTCTAGAAGAAGAATATAGTTTTTTTTTCCACATTCAAATTGCTTCATTTACTTAGATAATGCAAATAACTATGTTTTTTCCTTTAAGGTATAAGCTAGAATTTTGTATAAAACATTTGAATAAAATAAAGATTAAGCATTAATGTTTTGCTAACCTTTTAAAATATTTTCAGATTAGTGTTTTGTATTTCTTCTCATTTTACAATCTTTCCGTGAGGATTAAGTACCCTGTTAATTTATGGGTTATGGTATTCGAGATAAATGCAGATTGAGGTTAAGGGTTTTGGGGTTATGGTAGTGATTTTCATCACCAGTGTTTTCATTTTCTAATATTATAGGCATTCTCTTTCAGGCAGTAAGTAATTCATAAAATCATTCATTAAATGCTTTTGTCTGGTAACATGTTAGTAATACAAGGTCAACTTCTGATGTGACAAAAAGATTCTAAGATATAGGGATGAGTACATTACAAATTAATGAATAGTATATTAGTTTTCAGTATGGATTTATAATATTTAATATCTACAATATGATTTTAAGAAAAACATAGGCTTAAGGGAAATATAGAATAAAGTGAATCCTTTTTATCCTCACTGAGTAATCATTTTTATGAATATTTTCCTGTGCTTATTATTATTATAATAAAAGGCTGAGTTCTGTTTTTATTTTTGTATTATTCACATTAGATTATGCCTGGTGACTCCAGTTTAGAAATGAAGAGGCTTTTAGGGCTTCACTGATTTGAGTTATATTAGATACATATAGTCATAATGGATATTGTTTACATTTGTGTGGTCCTAATTCTATTTTCTGTTCTTTCTCTGTAAATAAATAATAAAATTTAATCCCATAAAATAGCATGTAATTGAATTGTTTTAAGTGGATATGATTTTTTGCAGACTATTGTCAGTAGAGCCATAGGGAGGGAAAGAGAATCCCTGAAGTGCCTGGGCCCAGAGACATCTGCCTACAGCCTTCCTTTTCTCCTCACTTGTCTATGCTCAGCTTCCTCTGTTACTTATTTCTCACATCCTCCTCTCGTGTGTCACTTTTTCTCATTTGCTGAAGTATCTCCTTGAGTAATTTTCAGAAAGGAAACATGGAGATAAATTATCTCAGTGTTTTACCTATCTGTTATGCTTCTGTTGTTTCCTTATACTGAATTAATATTTAACCAGATGTAAAGTTTTAGGTTTAAATATATTTTTTCACCAGAATTTTGGAGGCATTGTTTTATTCTCTTAAAATATACTGATACATGTTTCTTACTTCGTAAGGAAGTACAAAAATATATGCAAAGGGAACACCAATACTTTGAATAAGTAGACATATTTATAAAAGCAACTTTATTTACATGAGTTAGTGACTCTTAAATCTGCTTAGTGGAGGCATTGCAACCCTTACTCTTTGGTGAAAATTCAGCCACTTTTATAAGAATTCATTGGAATTGTACTCAAAATTTATTCTCTATTCACTTTAGGTTGCAAAACACAACCCCAAGTCAGTATTAAATATGTTCAGTTTATATAAAATTTCCAAGCTCCACATTTGATATAGAATTAAGTCTCCCATCCCTTCATCTGGGAACTTCTTTTGCAATGGGGAAGAGGAGGTTTTGGTGATGGTGTTGTGGTCCTTCCTATTTCTTCTCCTGTTTCCTCTAGTTTGTTAACTGGCAATGTTAAAGTTGGAGGAGCGAATTTAAGAGGATTTGGAAGTTAGTATTTGAGCTAAACTAGCTTATGATGACTTAGAGTTCTTTGAATCTGGCAGATATTGAAAGCTAATTCCTCTAAGCAACTCCTTTCCCAGACCAGAACTCCCCGGTGAGTTAACCCACTCACATACTGTGTGCTGGTAGACCTCGTATCTTCCTTCTGCTTGGGTCTTCTTTGTTTGCCAGACCATGCGTCTGTATATTTTATGAAACAACTTTAGGCACATGTTTCTACTGGTATTACATTCAAGTCTCTGACAAAGCCCTTTACCTTACTGTTAGAGTCTGCAAATTAGGCACTTGGAAGTGCAAGCATCCTCTCTGGGGAGGCCTATGCAGCCCTCCACACTAAGTTTGGAACTATGATTTTCTTCCCCAAGCTTTAGAGGATTCATGTCAGGGCTCTTTGTAAAGAAATCTCTTCACATACTGTCTCCATTCCCATTCTTCTCATTCTGTCTTTGATATGTGAAAAGCTTAAGCAGCAACTAGAAGGGACGGTGCTGTGGCCTACCAGGTTAAGCCTCCACCCCTACAGTGTCAGCATCTCATATGGGTGCCAGGGAAAGCACCCACATGGGAGACCCAGAAGAAGCTCCTGGCTCCTGGCTTTGGCCTAGCCCAGCCCCAACCATTGTGGCCATTTGAGGGGTGAACCAGTGGATCAGTCTCTCTTTCTTCTCTCTGTATCTCTGGCTTTCAAATAAATAAATCTTAAAAAAATTAAAAAGTAAGAGTCAACTAGATGTTTTTAGCCAAATCATTTACAATTTTCTTTTTTTTTTAAAAAAAGATTTTATTTATTTATTTGACAGGTAGAGTTACAGACAGTGAGAGAGAGAGAGAAACAGAGAGAAAGATCTTCCTTCCGTTGGTTCACTCCCCAAATGGCTGCCACGGCCAGAGCTGCACTGATCCAAAGCCAGGAGCCAGGAGCTTTTTCCTGGTCTCCCATGAGAGTGCAGGGGCCCAGGGACCCGGGCCATCCTCCACTGCTATCCTAGGCCATAGCAGAGAGCTGGACTGGAAGAGAAGCAGCCAGGACTAGAACCAGCACCCATATGGGATGTTGGCACCGCAGGCAGAGGATTAACCTACTGTTCCACTGCGTTGGCCCCAAAATCATTTACAATTTTCTACAAGTGGCTAGCAGATATCTGTAATTCAGAAGATATTATAACTTTATATTTCTGTGGAATTTCCAATTTAATAGCCACATATTCTTTTATCTGTTTTTGTAGATATGTTTATTTTTCAAACAATATTTATTTGGAAGTCAGGGAAACAGACACAGTGAGACAGAAACACAGAGATCTCCCATCTACTGATTCACTCCCCAAATGCCTACAGTAGCCAAGCTGAAGCCAGAAG